CCCCCCCCCCGCTCACACACTTTAATTACCTGTGGTATTTTAGTCTGAATAGTATTTAAAAGAAAGAGAGAATCAGGAGCTCATAGTTACCATTCCTAACCTGTGATGTTGTTTAGCACCCACACCAAATGCAGAATAGTTCTGGGTGGCACATGCCTGTAACTCAAGTACCTGGGAAGCTGAGTCAGGAGGATCACAAGTTTTAGCCCATCTTGGGCAACTTAGTGACTTAGACCCCCATCTCAAAATAAAAAGTTCAGGAAAAAAAGTGAATGCCCTAGGTTCAAGCCCCAATACCACAGAGAGAGTGGTAGCAAGAGAAAGAGGAAAGAGGAGGAGGAAGAAAGGAAGGAAGGAAGAAAGAAAGAGACTTTTCCAAAGTAGAGACAGAAATTTCTCCCTCAGCAGACACTTGAATTATAAATGTACAATCAGAGGCAGAACAATGGAAATAAGAGGAGCTGGGTGGTCTCCGAGTGGCTTCATTTGTCCTGAGAACTCTTTCCTGGGGTGAGAGGATGCCTGGATTGCCAGTCCATGTACAGCTGGTCCAGAATGGAGCCCAAGGATAAAGCAGTAATTCTGATGCTGTCTTTGTTAATGTCACTATTTAATTCACCATGGATTCTGTTATGGTTTGGCTCTGGGGGAAGGCCTGGTGTTTGAACCCAGGGCCTTCACACTGAACTAGAGCCTCACCCCCACCCCCTTTATCTTTTATTTTGAGACAGACTTTCACTAAGACACATTAGCTGGGCTCCAACACCCTCCTGCCTCAGCCTCCCAGCATACTGGAATTACAGATATAGGCCACTGCATCCAGGTGATTCTACAATCAAGTAGCCCCTTATTCTGTAAACTAGTACTGACTGTCTTGATAAAGAAACGGAACAAGAAGCAGGTTGATCCCAAAGGTACTTTCCTTGTAAAGGTTAAAGCAGAGAGACGTGGCTATCGTGCCAGCTGAAACTGTCTTGTTCAGTGATTTTCCTATAACCTCTCTCTCTATCCTTGAAAATTCAATAAGCAACTTAGTTTGGTCTTGGTGGTGTGGAACTTCAGAGTGATTGCATTTGGCTTGGGTCTGTTGGGCCTAGAGTGCAAGAGCTCATTCCAAACTGCAAATTTCATATAAGACTCTGACCTTCTGACTCATCAGCTCCCCACTCTTTACCAGGCCCAGTATTTGCATGCATGGCCTACCAATGCGGGGAAACACTTTTATTCCTGTTCACCAGTTTACTGGAAAAGGATGTGACAAAGGACCCAGATAAACAGCCAGATGAAAAGAGACACAGGTCAAGGTCCAAAAGGGTGTCAAGTGCAGGAACTTTCTGTGCTAGTGGGGTGCACCAGGCCTGGCCGTGGGCTGGGTCTAACCCGGAAGCTCCCAGAACCCTGTGCAGCTTAGGGATTTGCATGGCAGCTTTGTCATGCAGCCCTGCCCTGCCCCTACTTGGCCTCCAGCCACTGTGCCCTTCTAGCAGAAAGGAGGTGGGGCTGAAAATTCCACCTTCTAACCGGGGAGGGGACTTTCTGGTCACCTCCAGAATCTGCCCCTCCAGGAATCCACCGAGGATCACCTCATTGGAGCAAAAGAGGCGTCCATCTCCCAGGAAATTAGAGAGGATTGAGATGAGGTGCTCTGTCAGGACCTGAGGTTAGAGACCAACTCTTACTTTTCAAGTGCATGTTACTTGGTGAAATCCAGAGCCTCATGCATGTTAGGCAAGTGCTCTACAGCTGAGCTGTACCCCAAGCCCTTTGTAAATTTTTAAAATTTTAAGACAGGGTCTCACTAAGTTGTTCAGGCTGATCTCAAACTTAGTATCCTCCTGCCTCAGCCTCCCAAGTAGTTGGAATTACAGATGTGTGCCACCACACTGGACTTCTTTTCTCTCTTTTTTTTTTTTTTCCAATGCTGGGGATCAAACCCAGGGCATCCCATATGCCAGGCAAGTTCTGCTACTGAACTACACCCAAGCCCTAAAGACCAAATGTTACATCGAAAGATTCTCTCATAACCATGTTGATCGTAAGATTACAAGAGTCGTAGGAGATCTGGGCCTGAAGCCAGGGACAAAAATCATATGCATTGATAATATTATTATAAATCACAACATCACACGGGCATTAAAAGCAAACTGTGTGGCCAAAAGGCCACAACTCTGTGTATTTTAGGCAAACTGTGCCCAGATAAAATAATGTTCTGTGTAACCATATGTGCCCTCACTTGGGCCCCTGAAGGAAATGAATTGTAAGTCAAGTTTTCGTTGAAGAAACTATACCCAGCCTTTGCGTCTCTGACCCCAGCTGCTTCTTAATCATTCCTATGTGGATAGCGTCAGGCAGATGATTCTTTCTGGGCCAGCGTCTCAGTTGTCATCCTGCCATTTCTTTCCCTCGAATCCAAAATATGATTCTGTCTCTCAGATACCTTTTTTTGGCTTGCTTTAGCTTATCCTCAAGCAACTGGGAACTTCCTCACATTCTGCATGCCTGCAAGTGGCTCTCAGTTTTGTCTTCAAACTTGCTCAGTAACTTTGCTGGGCACCAGATTTTAGGTTGAAGTCATTTGTATTTTCAGTGCTAATGTAGGACCTGTTGGCACTGATGTGAAGTCTGACCAGTGTAACTTATTCTTTTGAAGATAAAAACTTGATTTCAACATTTCCACTTCGGCTGTGACAAGCTCAGAGTTTATGAGGCTGTGTGCAGGTATGGGTTTTTCTGGCCAGTGTTTACCCACATTTGCCCACGTGTTTCGCATGAAGGTCATGTAGCATGTCTTGTTTTGTTTTTGATCATTCTGCCCTTCCATGTTCTTCTGTTTCGTAGACACTGGGCTTCCTGGAGCAGTATTCTGTATCTCTTAAAGTTTCTAACATACTTGTCATTAACATTTTAGTCTTCATTCTGGGAGATTTTCTGAACTTCATCTTCTGAATCTTCTACTACATTAAAATAGGCATCACAGTCACTTTTTTTTTTCTTTTTTTTTTTTTGGTACCGGGGATCGAACTCAGGTCCTAGTGCTTGCAGGGCAGACGCGGAACCACTGAGCTAAATCCCCAGCCCTCACAGTCACTTTTGAAAAGCTTGTTCCTCTTTCCCTTCTCTCTGTCCTTTTTCTATAATAGTCTGTTTCCTTTATTCCTTTTTTTTTTTTTTAGGCAGGGCTTTGCTAAGTTTTCCAGGCTAGGCTTGAAGTTGTGATCCTCCTGCCTCAGCCTCCCAGAGAGGTTTGGTTAATCCTGCTGGGTTGCATTTGGTTTCCCAGCAGACCCCATCCCTGACTAGCAGGACTCCCTGAGATGTCCAGTACACAGGTGG